ATATTGTGGTTATTGATAACTCTCAACCATGTCCCAAGGATGTTATGGTTATTCAGAATAAAGACTGCGGCCTGACAGAGCCTACAGGAGGGATTTTTCCCTTCTATCATGGCAAAATCTGAAGTGGAACATGTCTTTTCATCAGAAAGTAGTAATGCTAGCTGCCTGGTGATGTGGCTTTGAGGCTGAAGTCTCCCTGTGGAAACAACTGTGCTGCCAAAGTAAATACCCTTCCTTGGGGGACAGAAGAGAGCACAGAAGCTCTCTTCCCAGCAGCGGAACCACAGAGACCTGCCTACATTCACCCCATGCAGAGGAAGCCTCCAATGTGGGTGTCTCTGTCCCAGCCAGGACTCAAGCAAATTTTATGCAATGGGTAAAGTGTAGAACACTTTGGGATCATCAGGGATGAATCATGCTGTAAAATGCATCATTAATGCTACTAGATGTATTATAGACTTCTCCCGTGAGCTGAGACTGCTGCAGGCAGTGTGCTGGGAGAAAAGCTCTCCAGATTGTGCTCATGCAAATTGGTATCTGTGATCACATTCATTCTGGTTCCCACTACAACATTACTTTCACACTCCTGTGTGCTGCTCGCTCAGTCTAAACTTTTTGTTATTGCAGGTTGTATGACTACAACATAGCATCTCTTTGCCAACACCTTTACAAGGGTGAGAAAACACTATTTCAAAGATACAAATACGGAAATAGAGGCACAGGAAAACTAATGGATATGCTTAAACTTACCCAGGAAAGGTGTGGCAGGACCCTAAGCTAAATCTCCTTACTCTGCAGTCCCCTAACAGGTTACGAGATTGGAGCAGCTGTCTATTTGTTCAGGGCATTTAGTTCGTCTTATCTTTTTGTTCTGAAACATTATTTTCTTTTGAACTGGAGATCTGCATAACTTAGAGAAGACCAGGAATTTCTGGAAGCCGGGAAAAACAGAAGTGAAATATGACCTATTTTGAGGACACCCTGTTTTTACTGTGGACCGTAAGTCTTGTCAACTGGGTTAAATTATATGAACAGTATTTCAAAATTATTTAGGATTAAATGATACAACCACAAAATAGCAATATAATAGAAAATGGAGGATGAGCAAACATACCCAAGAAATGGTTTTCAAACATTGCAAATGAAATGGAGAGTCAAGGCAATGACAAGGAAACTGCTGCCAGTGACATATCGTGTGAGAAGATTCTCGAACAACCTGACTATTTGGGAATATAGGGAAAAAGCAGACAGTACTCTAAAAAATAAGAAAAGCAGGAAATCACAGGCAAAACCTAGCTATGAATTAATCCAACAAAGTTCAAAGCCAAGAAATTGCGAGCAGTGAGTCATCAGTAAAAGGGCACTTGCCTGTAACATACGGGTTCAGTTCACAGGTACCCAGCCTGTTTTTTAAAATTAAAATTTTAAATATGTAAAAAATATTCAGTGTTCAGATGAAAGTTGAAAAAAAGAAGCTTTCAAGATCTCAAGTCTGTATTTTGAATGTTTGGCTAATACATCAACACAGGCTGGCTTGCCAAAAATATTAAAATATGACTAAAGAGATCATAAATTAGTAAATTGTCAAGTATTCTTAATATGTATTCCCAATGCCAGACAAGTATAATGCTAAAAGAAGGTTACTTAAATAATAAGTGCCAGTACTCAGAAAGCTCAGGACAGTTTTACTTTTAACAGACAGAATAAACTAGGTTTGCTTCAGCAAATCCATTCTGAAAGAAGTAACAAAGATTTAACTTGGACACATGAAAAGTTTCTATATTTTAGGATTTCAGTGTTCATTTGGAGAACTATTATACCATGCAGTACAAGCCATTTATTTAATCATTGCATTTATTTGAAATAATAGTTTTATTCAATCACTGTCTCTTGATAGACCAGACTACTGCACGTAGACAGGAGATAATGGATGGAACAGGATGTCCTTGAAGAGGAGCTGCTTCAGATCACCTCTCTAATACTCAGGAGACATCCTCCTTCCAAAGCCCATCAGAATTCTGAAAGCTAAGATGGAAGATGCACCAATGCTGTCTGGTTTAACAAATCAGCTCCTGAATCACTTGACTATAAAACTCACAGGGAAAAAAAAAAAAAAAAAATCTGCTTAAAATACCTCAATGTCATTTTTAAATCTATTTAGGCAGACCAGCTCTGGTGCCTTTATAGCAGCTTAGCCATGTGCATTGTAAAGGCTCACTGGTACTGTAGCCATCACTGGGTTTTGAAAAGAGTAAAACACAAAGTTATTAAATCAGTTTTGGTCTTGCAGTCCTGCTTGGTCAGTTCACTTGAGTATGCTTTCAAGCAATTAAAGAAATTGATATACAGAGATTTTTAAAGGGGGAAGATAAAATTCCATCGACACAGAGAACTGTAACAAGACATACATTTATTTTGGGAAAAAAAAAAAAAAAAAAAGAAGAAAATAAGTGTAAGCCATATTATAACACTTGTTACAGCAGAGAAAGGAAAAATTAAAATCTTGGGTTACATTTTAAAAGATATTTTCTCACCTATTACATTGCCCTTTTGTGATCTGAGTGCTGGAACCTCAATCAGGCAACTTTTTGTGTCACAATGTGCATACGAAACATTTTCCTGCTGGCTTAGTGAAAATCAGAGAAACAGAAGAATTCGTGTGTATGTGTAAAGTCCTCAAGAGCAGTGTCTTAGCACAGTATATGAATTTATAGTATTGAAGATTAAAACCTGCTGGGGTAAGCACTTAGTGAAGCCAGTTGTGAAAAAATAAAACACCCAATAAACCCTGCATCTATGTTTCGAGTATTTGATGTCTTTCCCCCATTTCGCTAAAACACATGTAAGTGTGTGTGCATGTGTGTGCACTCATGCCCCCACCTCCTGTCTTCACCTAGCACTTTTGTTACAAATAAAGTGAAAAAGTGCTTTGTGAAATAACTCACAGTAGGATGGAGTAATTGTGATGAAAGTATGGCATCAGAAGGCAGATACAATGGTGTTATTTCTATTTCAAAAGTCTTAGGTTTCTATATGGAGCAGCACTTCACACAACTTGCATATGCCTTGCATATCAGTGTTGAATAAATTGCCCTGTTCATATTTAAAACACTGCAGACCAGGCTTATAGTTTGTTACTCTCACCACTTAGAAGCTGTATGAAGCCTCTCAAGGAGAAAAAGTCAGCCAACTATTCTTTTTTAGCTATTTGCAAAGTAAACCTGTTGAAATTCTAGTTGTCTCCAAAAAGGGAAAGGTTTGCTTTCTGTTGAGAAAAGAAAAAAAAAAAAAAAAGAAAAAGATTGCATTGTTTTTCAGACCAGTGCATTCTGTTACCATTTTCCAGTGCACATCTACTGGGGAAAAGAAGGATACTTTTGAGTTACATGGCTTGCAGGAAAACTTGCAGGAAAAGCTAGTTTCTTTAGGAGCAAATATCCTGCCACCTTCAAATATGCAGTACAGAATAAAAGCCAAGATCAACATCTTTGGCTATCTTTTTAAAACTCATTATGAAAAAAAATGATTGCTACTGCAGTCAAATACATGCCATCTATTTGGCTTCCATATGATCTATGAAAAATTAACCTTCGTCCTCATCTCTCTGAAAGTACTGTCTCCTCAGTCCAGCTTGTGTCTTTGGTCTGTGGGCACCCCGCACTGAAATAAAATACTGGTATTTCCAGGGAAAAGCAAGAAGATGATTTAGCCTTCTGAAACAGCAAAAGTCAAACAAAACAGGTAGATACTGATATTAACAAGTTATTTTCTGATTGTGAGGAAGAACAGGGAGCAAATACATTTAAGTCAAGACTAAAATGATACTGAATGCTAATGAACTAATGTATTGTTAAAATATTCTTCCTTCTTTTCTGAAGAAATTTAATACATCCATGTATTTATACACTGTTAGATAAAAAGCTCTTTGCCTTCTTCCTTCTAAAAATATTTAGTATCTGTGAAAAAAGTAACTCTTACTAAAGAGGATGGCAGCTGGGCTGTATTATTTGATATAAGAGTATGGAACAAAACATTTAACAGTCTCAGTTTTCAACTAATGATCAGCAGGGTGTGCTGGGCATGCGGAGAATCCAACAGAGGAAGATCCTCTTATCTTTAGTCATTGGTTTCATATCAGCTGCTGCCCAGTGCATATCTGGTGGCTGGTAAGAAAATCAAGCTGGAGTGCTAAGTCCACCTCTTAGTGAACCCAATGCGAACCTACTGTTATGCAGTTGACTTTTCTGCAGGTGTCTCATACATATGCTGAAGGAGAACTGAAGTGCTGGTCATGTAGCTTACACACTGGAGGAGAAAATTTGATACTCCTTCTTGAAGGTTTAATTTTATAGCCTTTGTCAGAAAATAAGATTTCTGTACAGTGACTTACTGCCTCAAGCATACTCTGTATAGTCAGTCCTATACTGATCTTATATGCTTTATGAGTAAAATAGCAGTTACAATGAAATTCATAGGTGCTTCCCTTGTGTCTGAGCCTGTTTTAATGAAAGCAGTAGTAAAACTCCTGGTTTTCTGGAGAAGATGGAAGCCCTGGGGAAAACTGGTAGCTATTTAACAAGAGCTGTCTGCCAGAGGTAAAGTGCAAGGATACCCACTGTTGCCTCAGAAAGCAGGATGGGAAATCCTTCAGTCTGCCCACCATCTCTACTATTTGCTTTGGTAAAATGTGCATCCTTGAATACCCCTGTGAATATTTCTTCCCTGATGCAAGAAAAGAGTTAAAATCTGGCCACAAATAAGATACTGAGTTGTCCTGAAGTTAGTAAATTTAACACAGAATTGAAAAGAATCAAAAACAGTATTGAAGCTAATGTTCTGGTTTCACCTTCATCCAAAAGATCTGAAGTTATAATCAGTTTATTGTAACCAAGCCTAAACATATAAAAAAAAAAGAACTGATGTGATCAGAGCAACTGACATCTCCTAAGAGCAACCTGCTAGTATCAGAACATACCTAAAAATAAGTGAGAAAAATGACAATATTTTGAAAAGAAACATTTATTGATCATACAAAGCTGATTTTGTCACATATTATCAGGCATCATTAACAAGCTAAATATGACTTTGCTTAAATGAAACAATACAGCTTAATGAAAGCATTCAACACAGTTATGATAAATTCTTTTCTTTGTTCTCTTCTGGATGGAATGTGTGCTTTGGTATCAACTCATCGCTTTTAAACAACTAGCTTAGCCAGCATGTTATATGAATAACTTCCTTGCCAGGTAAATCCACCACAGGGACTAAAATGAGAGCTGGGGTCTTACTGCCCAAAAATGTTTCAAGGTATTCTTGCAGTCCTAAAATAGAAACAAAATAATTAATGAACTGTCTTTGTCTCATTTTCTGTTGTGTCCCATCTCTTAAAAAGGATTTCTAAATACATTCTTGAAAATTATTGTGGAGCAGCAATTAACAAAAGGAAGTAAAATGTAACTGTTTTCACTTTATATAGAATAGTGAATCATCATCACCCACCTCCTCATCAACTAATTTGAGATTAATTTTACACATTGCCTAAGGCCATAATTCAGCAAAACAGTTAAAAAATGTTTCTCAAGCTTGAGTGAGTGTTCTGTTGATTACAGATATAGCAAGCTGAAACCAAGTGCAGGTAGTAAAAATAACTAAAGGCCAATTGAAATTAAATTCTTTGTCATTTTTTAAATTTGGATGATCAGCATGTAGTTGTCTGTAAATGAAATTTTGCTCTCAAGTCCCACTGTGGTGCATCAATCTACTAGAAGTTAAAGTGGACATTTTTAAAAACATTATGAACATGATTTCTATTTGAAATCAATGGAAGTACACCGTGCTGAAGCTATAATGGAGGAAGTATGGGGATGGCAATATATATGATTATGTACCTAGAGTTAGAGATTTAAACTGCTAAAAATACAGAACCTGGCTATAAAGAACTGTAAAGGGACTGGTATGTGTGGCAGAAGTTTGTAAAATTAAAGTCCATTAACAGAATTAACAATGGAGAAGACCTAATTAGAAGAATATGAAAGAAAACTAAAGAATGAGAAAAATAAACTTAGCATCAAGACATTCTGGTTGTATTGCAGACCCAGAGGACATCCCAGACATGCTAGAAATGCAGCCACACAGAACTCTTAAAGACTACTGAGAAACCCCCAAATGGCCCTATAAAAGGTATAGCCTTTATACATTTTGGTTTCAGTAAGTTGTTTCTGCCTGGAGCTTCTCTGATTATGTCAACTCCTTATAACAATAAGCAGTCTTGGCTAGAAAGGGTGTAAAGAGGGTAGAACTTGAAGACTGACAGAGCTTTTGTGGGTTTTTTGGCTTTACTGTCTGTGAAACTGTCAAAGTGTTGCCTCATGCAGGATAAACCAGGAATTTTGCAATTATGTTCACTGAAGCCAAAACTTTTCTCTCTTGTTCTCTGGCAGCAGTAGGATAAACTAATGTAATAATGGTAATGCTTCCTACAAAATCTTGCAAAGACAGTACCAGTCTTCTGCAATTCTGCTCACTTCTTTTATATTAACACCATTGACACTAGAGATGAAAACAGACAAGGGTGAGACAAAGATCAACAGTCATCTCAGAGGTCAAAGGACTTTTTCGTGCTGTGTGTAAAAAGGGACTCAGTCTATGTAGTGCAGATATTCAGCAGTGACCTAATAATTAAGCATCATCAGATAACATTTTCATTCTAAACTTTGACTTCAGAAAACCTTATAGCAATGCTGGCTCAGAAGGCATTAAATAGAAGTGGGTAAACACAAGTCACCTCAAAAATCACTAATACCACCCTATTAAAATTATATATATATTTTTTTTTTTTCTCAATTAAAATTGTGAAAATATAGTTTTAGTCTTTTTTTCCACAGGCTTAAAAGCTGTGAAATGGTGCTAAAACCTACCATAACAAAACCTGGTCTTACTTTCAAAGGAAGAATTAGAAAATGAGATTATCTGGGAATACAACTCTATTCTTTGCATTTTTTTGAGGTGGCCAAAATAGCCATAAATATTTACATTTGAACACATCCTAGTGGACTTGCTGCCAGCCAGAGAGAGACATCTTTCCAAAAGTCCATAGCCTTTTCTATTGCAAGTGCTAACTGCTGCAGCAGAGCTTACACACATAATTACAGAGTGGATGAAAATCTGGGACATATGCCTCTAAATGTTTTATTATACTTATAAATCAAATACTTTGATCTGAAACTATTCTATCTTAGATATGCATCTTCATATATTTAAAAATTGTGAGTAAAAGTCTGCTCACAAATTTCCCCTGAAAAGAGGAGACTGGATCTTCCGAAACAGTAAAATTATACTCTAAGGTCCCACAGAAAACAACGTACAATTAGTAGATCTGTGTCAGCCTATGTAATCATAGCTAACACAATGCAAAAATTGACAGCTATATATTTTACCTGCTATAAATAAGATACTCTGAATCCTCCAATACTACTGTATATTTTTTAATGATGTAACACTAACAAAGACATAATCCTTATATATTTTACTCCTGCAAATTATGCTTTTAGATAAATAAGAGCCTCAGCCAAGACTATAAGTGTTTTCTGGAGTGTGTAACCTTACTCAAATATATTTAAGCTATCAAACATTTCTTTCCTTTATATCACTGACAGAGATGTTTGCTCAGTTGCATGCCATACTTCTGAAAGTTCATTTTAAAAGTGAAAAAAGGATGGGGATGGTGGGTTACTGTGAGTGTGGTTACTGGAGCTTTAACAGGAGCTATATAGGATTGGTATCAGTCTTAAGGTTATTTAATCCACCCTGATACAGAATGCTCACTGAAGTTCATTAATGTTTGTCACAAAACCAGCTGATTAGCAAGCAGCAAACAAGTGGTGCATGTTTTCATTCATGTGATAGTCCACATCAATTATTAGTACTGCATGAAATTTCCTGAAAGTAGGTGAGCTTCTTCCTGCAAGATGGATCCCTGCTACTCCTAGCTGATCAGCAGAAGCTCAGGGTACAGGTTCCATATGGTTTCCTTCTGCACCACTATACGTTTTTTATTTACCTGGGAACAGTTGAGGGATATGGTTGTAAACAAAACACGAACAAAAGTAATTCGAAGTCTTTCCCTCTCTCACAAAAAAAAATTTAGCATTACAATCTATTTGTGCCATTCCTCTGTAAGGACAGGATATTGAAATAAACAGCTTGAGGATCTCTCATGCAGACTTTATGGCCCTTCCATATAACACGGCATAATCTAACACTGTAAGCTACTGTTTTTAAAGGTGCTTTTCACACTAAGTAGGTAAAAAAATGTCCTGGGAGCCCCTAAAGGGTCATTCCAAATGATTAGGAAGATTATTTTTACATCTGTACTGTCATTGGCTTCAG